CAGCTCGGGCCAGCGCTGTCCCAGGTAGGTGATCTGTGGCGCCTGCGGGCCGACCCCTGCCGCGCCTGCCAGCGGGGTGGTGTCCAGGTGCCCTCGGAGCGGTTGTCCCGGGCCGAGCTCAGTGCACCAAGGACATTTCCTGGAGAAGGGTATTGGTGAAGAGGGTTTTCCTCCCCATAGCCCCTCTGTGGGGTCGGATTCACTGGTGGGACCTCGTCTCAGCCTGGCTGTTAGTTTAGGTTGCTGTTAACTAGTCCCTTTACCTAACGTTCGCGTGATTTCTCAGCTAATTTCGGGGGCTTTCGACTAAAGTCCACTGAAAAAACGCTGTCACCTGTTAACTCCAGAGCGGACGCAGTAAGGAGGAGTGGAGGCGGCCGCCTAGCCCTTCTCTCATTCATTCGCCGACTTCCGGAGCTGCAGGTGCTCGAGAGCCCAACTGCCTGCTTCACGGTTGCCTATTGGCTCTGTGAAGAGAGCATCAGGGGGGTTAGGGCTGGGGGTCACAGAGCCGCAGGCAGTTTTGCAGTGGAACGGTGTTACCTTCCTAAGAGCAGCACAGGGAAATGAAAGGATAGTTTTTAGAGGGGGTGACGACCTAGCTGTGAAGTTTCAGTCTCTTTTCAAAAGGAAAAGAAAAAATAAATAAATAAACACAAGCCATCGAACATGCAACCACTGCTGAGTATAACTGAAATCGTGTCTGTTCACCAATCTAGATCATAGTTGTTTTATTTGGGGAATCAAAACTCCCCCCTTTTTGTTGTATAAAGATTAGATGAGAATTCAGAATATAAAAGGGAATTATTCTGCATTTGCGATAGGGAAAAGGTGACCTGCCCTTCTGGTTTTACCTAGTGCCATTAAATATTCAGCTCTACGGAAGACTGGTTTTCCAGAAACTTGAGCTGGGTTAGAGCTTCAAGGGCCCAGCACACACAATGGGTGCTGTGGTCGAGCTGCAGGGTGGGGCTGCCCCTCCCCCTCTGGAGTTCTCAGTTCGGGAGTGAAGGCCACGTGCCTAAGGCAGGGAAGATCTTTGTGCAGCTCCTCAGCTATTTACCCAAATAATGAAAACAGGGTGCACTTCCTGGGTGCCAGGCAAATGTCATAAGAACGGCGTTACCATGCCTTACTTACAAAATAGAGTTCCTGAAGACTCTTCAAATGATTCTAGGTAATGTTTTGTGAATTACGAATAGGCCTGTTATAGTTAGCTTGGTTATGTACAATGTGCTCAACAGCGGACTTTGATTGAAATACAGATTTTAACCAATGCTGAAAAATGTAAGCTAAATTTGGCCAGCTCTGGGAAATGAGCACATTTTCTTGGGGTGATGATTGAAAAGGCAAAACAAGTTGAAGATTTTACAGGGAAACTAAAATAGCTAAATACTAATTTCATGCAGAGTAAATGAAAACTAAATGTATAAATTCTGAATGCCAGTTATCTAGGGGAAAATGGACAAAAAGCAAAATTAAGAAACTCTAGGGCTGGGGATTTAGCTCAATGGTTCCAGCACCTGAAGTGCAAGGACCTGAGTTTGATCTCTGGTAGAAAAAAAAAAAAAAAAAAGAAAGAAAAAAAAAAAGAAAAGAAAAAAAGAAATTCTACCCATCCAATTATTTTTTCCTTTAAACTAGAAAAATATGACAATAATTATATTTTCCCCCAGAGTGGAAAAAAATCAACCTTTTTCAAATTATTCTTAACTTTTGTTCTTAAAAAAAAAACCAAACTACTCTGTTGGAGATACCATTCATACATCAAAAAATACACCTCAGTTTGCAATTCAATTAAATTTGTTAAATTTACATGATTTTATAAATTGTGTAATATCACTAGACTCCCACTTTGTTTTATTTATTTATTCTTTTGGTACCAAGGATTCAACTCGGAATCTCACTCTTGCAAGGCAGGTGGTGGAAACACTGAGTTAAAACCCTGGCCCTAGAGTCCCATTTCAGATCATTTTACCATTCCTCCAAAATCTGTAGTGTCTATTTTCAGTCACTCACCACTAATACCCCTGCCATAGGCAACTCCTGATCTACTCTCTGTCTCATTAGATTTGCCTTACCTGGACATTTCATGTAAATGGAACCTATGTGATCTTCAGCATCTAGCTCACTTCACTTAGAATATAGGTTTTGAGGTTCATGAATGTTGTAGCCATAGCTGGTTTCTTTTTATTGATAACCAGTATTCATTCCATTTGATAGCTATGTCGCATTTTGTTCCCTAGTCCCTGGGCACTTCTGCAATTACATTTAAATAGTAAGATAACGTTGGCCTGACTTTTATGCCAGCATAATTGGAAAATAACCTAGATGAGTGAACTTATTTCATGTTTTGATTGTGTATGATAATTTAAAATGTTAATATCAAGTTAAATATGCAGGTTCCTATAAAGTAGTGGGATCTCCTATGTAGAATTTTCTAGAGAATCTAGTAAGAACCTCTTAATGTTGTGAGAATATTGACTTCTGGTATATTTCCATTAGGAGTTAGGAACCTCAAATAGCATTTCTCAGTCAGAATTGTTTTCTTCTATACCAACATTTCTCCCGCATTGTGCTAATGACAGACACATTTGAGGCAGAGGGTATCACAGTTGATGACTTTTGCTTGTAGGGATTTCTCTTATTGGGCAGAAACTCTTAAAATCTGGCAAATTCTATGAACCTAATGAAAAGATGATGTTTTTTGGAATGCCTTTCAGTTACTACTCTAATTGCAAACTCTTACTGTGAAAAAAAATAAAATAATTTGAAGTCTATTTTATTGGCAACATAGAATGCAACAGATTTTTAAACATCTAAAATTTAAAAACAAGATTGCCTATGTCAAGTAATGTAGTTTTCCCAAGGTTGAATGTGTTTATTTACAACTGTTTTTCTGCTTGAAATATCAGAATAGCTTCTTAAGCCTCCTAGGTGAGAATAGTACCATTTAGATGACCTGTGATTAGATGAAGCAAACAAACTTAGTTTGTAAAACCCTCTTTTTTTCCTTTGGTAAAGGTTTTAAAAATGATGCACCTTTCTCTTGTTAGAGTGACATTTTCATTCCATGTGTCTCCTGAGAGGTATATTTCATACTTAGGAATCCATCTTCATCTTTATCCCTTTCACATAATTAGGAATTGGGGTAGAAACATTCACCATGCTATGTGGCCCCACCAAGAGGAATAGGGTTTGATTAGCGCTGAGGTGAGAGAGACTTCTAATTATTTTTGAGAGTTCACTTATGTTGTCATGATCTGGTATAAGAAACTTGGTGTTATCCAGGACAAATGCTGCTTTTCACCTCTGTATTTCCTGTGATCACCTGGATTTTGGAAGGATGCTGCTTCTGGATAAGCTGGACATTTTCATGGCACCGCAGGGGGAGCAAATATGGTGTCAAAAAGGATGGTCTTGTCTGTTTCATGCCCTGAATGGGTTTTGTAGTTATTGATCCAGCAGTCTACATGCAAGTGAACATATATGAATTAATAATATATTATGCATCTCAATAGCTATTAGGAAAGGATAAGTAGATGAAAGAAGGTTCATGAGATCCATTTAAATCCCGTGTTTCCCTGGAAATAAGACCTTGCTGGAAAATAATCAGTCTTGACACCTAGAGATAAAAAATGCTAGCCCCGATCACCGTATCCTTGCCTTATCTGCCATCACTCTCCTGTTTCTCAGTGGCCACTATGTAAAGCAGGTAAGTCTGATTGGGACTAGCATTAGTATTCTTCTTGCCAGTTCTTAACAGGTCTTAGTACATTGATTAAGTGGTCAATAATAAAAAGCGGTTTTTGTGGTCAATAGTAAAAAGTGAAGTAAAACAAGTCCAGTTAATTGTAGCTTCCACTTAGTTATAAAATCAGCGAAGGTTCTTAGATTTTGAAATCCCAATTGTACTTTATTTCTCCTGTAGTACTATGTTTTATATTTTTAAAATAAAAGTACTATACACAAAATTACTATTTAAATTGCAAGTTTTAGAAAATTGTTATAGTCATGGAATCACCCTCAAATCATGAAGCACTTATGATACTTTTTTCCCCAACAGCTCCTCCAGGTCTCTTTTGTGGTCAGTCTTTACCTCACTCCTAGTTCTAAGTACTCATAGTTCTATCTCCAGTTCCTATAGTTTTTTGTTTGTTTTTTTTTAAATATCACCCCTTGGTTATATTGTGTTGGTTTTTTTTCCTTCAAGGAAATGCTGCAAGTTAGTGATTTTCCACATTCTAACCATTTCTTGGAGACCTTTCACACGGAATGGTAGGCTGCTTCTGAGTAGGGTCATAGCCAGATTCAAACATTTGTGAGTGGAACACAGCATGGAGGTATATTTGCAACAGTTTTGATTTTGTAGAATGTCTTATAACTGAAACCCTAAGGTATGTAGCTCTTTGAATTTTTCTGTATTTAGTCAGCATGCATGATGTATTTGAGAATGTATCCATGTTACTGTGTGTATCATTGGTTCATTTTCACATTGTTCAGCTTTCTGGCACTGTAACAAATAACGTGAAGTACTTAGACAAGGTTTGTTTTGGCCTACAGCTTTGAGGTTGCAGCCCACGATCGATCGATTGGCCCTGCTGCTTTGGAGCCTGTGTTGAGGGTGAACATCATGGAGGAATATATAGCAAGGCAAGCTGCTTACTTCATTGCCAGAGGAAGAGGAAGGGGCTGGGGTCCCAATGACCTCTTTAAGGGTTGGCCTCAGTGACCTGAAGACCTCCTGCGAGGCCCTACCTTTTAAAGGTTCTGCCTCCTCCCAAGTGCCTCATTGATGACCAAGCATTTACCTCAAGGGAGTTTAAGGAACATTCCTGATTCAAACTACAGCAATTTCTTTTTATTGTTGAGTAGTATTCACTTGTTGCTGAATATATGAACTGTTTCCAGTATTTGGCAATTATGAACATTATGTTCGGGTTTTGTGGAACATACATTTTCACTTCACTTGAATAAACACCTAGGAGGTTTCTGAATAGTATAGTTTGTATTTAACTGTATAGAAAAATGTCAAATGTTTGTCCAAAGTGCTGGCTTATTTTTCATTCCTGGTAGCAATAGACAGGGGTTCCAACTGCTTCACATCGTCACTGATACTTGGTATTAACTCCACCCACCCCACAGTTAATTTTTAAAATGAAGTAAGTTACATTATACCTAAAACACTCTGGGATTAATGCAGAGAGCTATAGCTATTTTATAATTTCCTAAGCCATTTGCTCTTTAAATATTTTATAAAGCCATACAAGAAATGTTCCCAAAGGGCACTGTGTAAATGTTATAAGTGACCATGCTATTTATCACCCAAATTTGCTTCTTTTCATATTTTCTTCACTGACAAATTATAACTGGCTTTCAGGTTGATTTGTTAGCTGAGGACTTAAAGCAAGAGAAATAATTGGCTGAATGGGTCAGAAAGGACCTTAGGCATTGCCACTTTCAAATGATGTCCTAGAAGCAAATGTCCACAAATTATGAATATAAATATAATTATTTAATATTAACTTGATGTTTATTATGTGTCAGATACTACATTAAGCACTTTTAGTACATTGTCTCATTTAACCTACCAAAACTGTAAAAGGAGGTACATGTACATCTTCAGCTGAAGTTTTCAGATGAAGAAGTTGGGGCCTAGAGAGTTTCAATAATTTTCCAAAGCTGTCCAGCCAGAAAGGAAGTAGAACAAACTCTTCTAGGCACTATCTATGTAGTCAAATCCCCATTTTTAGGCCATAAAGCCAAATTACTCCCATTCATAGAATAAATCTACTGGGACATCTGCTTACACTTCTGAAAAGCACAACTAGAATCTCATAACTGCAGTCCCTTGACTGTTACTGGAGTTTTAGGGCAGAACCTGGACTCCCAATAAGGATGAACAAATAGGCTCAGCAGTCGTCTGACAACATAATTAAGGAGATGAATAGTGGTGAAGGGCTAGAAAGGATTTTTTTTTTTTTTTTTGGTATTTTGAGACAGGGTCTCACTATGTAGTTGAGACTGATCTGGAACTCACTATGTAGCCCAGGCTGGTCTCGAGCTCACAGTGATCATCCTGCCTCAGCCTCCGAAGTTCTGAGATTATAGGCATGTGCCACCATGCCTGGCCAAGAAAGGATTTTTATTCAACACAACAGTTTGAAGAGGTTCAAATTCTGTCTTGAGGTGCTGACTGAAACTTTGGGGTTTTATCAAAATGGAGATCAAAGGCAAGAGTTGAAGGACTGCAGAACTGGCCGTGAAGATAATCTTAGTCAAGCCTTGGTCCAGTTGGTTAGTATGTCGGGACTGGTCCTGTGAGGTTCTGGGAGAGCCATCATTGCTGGAGAGTGCAATTCATTTCCCATTGTGAGAGGACAGCTTCTGGGTGTGGGGCCACTTTGGTTCCATCATGGGATAAAGGCTCCTGCTTGTGGAGATGATCTCATCATGGGGTATCTGTGAGGCTCTGCTTTGCCTGGATTCTCAGGTGACTGCAGATATAGGACAATGACTGGGAACTTCTAGGCATTGCTCAGGGAAATTGATGTTGTTACAGCAGGCAATTGGGTGTCCCTGGAAATCCTGATAATTTGTTACTCTGATCTTTGTGTCCACAGACTTAAAAGGTGATGAGATAGGCTCGGTAAATTTAGGGCTTAAGAAACCTTGTATTACAAATTATGGACAGTCTGCAGGTGATTAATATATGCCCAAATCTGAGCAAGGCTCTGACTCAAAGTTTTTAAAGAGACAAGTATAAAAGTAAAATAAAGCAAAAATGCAAAACTTTATCCTGCTTTCAATTAGCCATTGGATACCAGCTGGCCCAGCCTCTAAGTCCTTGTTATAGTGACTTTAGAAACTATTATGCTGAAGAATCAAGTGAGGATTAGAAATTCATTTATAATGCAGGAGGAGACAAGATGGTAAACTAGAATGAGCCAGCAGACTCATGGGAAAGATCCAGAATCATTGCTTGGGATCTCATGACAGTCATTAACTAGCTGTCCTTGTTCGATGTGGCTGAGCTGGTTTCCTCATCTGTACAAAGGGAATAATACTGACCACCCAAGTCATATATAAGGATCAATATAAGCAACATACTCTACTTGGCATATTGTGGGCATCCAACAGATTTTTGTCACTCTTTCCTAAATTAGAAGAGAAGCATGATTTGCACCTCTTCGCAGTTCAGTTGTCAAACTGAGCACCAGCTAAAACCTTCAACTGTCTTTTGGAGTTTAAGAGTCAGTCTATCTGTCTATCTGGGTTTAGGTGGTGAATTCAACTTGCAGCCTTGAAAACTCATACCATTTCTCTGAGACTTCACTGCACTGTATACTATGTTGAAGATCAAATACTACTGCACAGTGCTTTAACACTTTAACAATATATGGAAAACAATTTATTGCTAAATGGCACAGTACTTTATGAACAGTATATATTTATACATGTATGTGCACCACCATTTCAATCCTTTTCCCCCTAAAAAAATTACTTTTATTTCATATCTAAGAATTTTTCTACAGGACTAACTGCAATATAAATTTATATATGTATACAAATGAGTAGTACATGGTTGAATGAAATTAAGAATATCTTAGATGATTCCTTGAAAAAAGAAAGTTGGGCTCAATGTTAACATGCATGTTTTTGGTGCACTATGCATCAATTTGAGATAAGCCACAGAGTCACCTGAGATTTATCCAGCTGACACTGGATGTCACCATTGTGCTATGCAATGTAGCTGCAGAACAGGTGTTTCTTTTCAAGGGCTTGGAGACATTAGCTTTCGTACCTCAAAACTTCATTATCTGGTGGCACTTTTTTATAGTTTGTGCTATATAAGCTTTATGGAATAATGATAAGGCACAAAGGTACTGTGCTAAAACCATTTGGGGCTCCTGGTTGCAAACTAGAATGATGGATGAATGATTTAACAGATGAGGAATTTACTAGAAGGATGTAGCGTAGTGTCCAGCAATCATGGGAAAATTGCAAAACTAAAATAGGAAAGTGGGAGATCTGGTGTGCATCAGCAAGACTGGGCCTCAGAAAGAGCTAGACCTTTCTGTCATTGCTACTGGCCACCATAAACCACCATTGGCAATCCTGCCACTCGCACAAAGCATCATTCCGTCAGGATTCTTTCTTGCCTTGAACGCTATCTGGGTTTGCATGACCTCCAGCTTTGCCAAGGCAGGTGAGCAGTCTCAGTGTCACATTTCAAGGGGCAGCGCTCAGCTGGCTGAGTCTGAGTGTTGCAGCTGTCTGTGCTCCAGCTCCAGGGCGTGAGCAGTGTGAGGAGTTGTTCCTGTAGGACTCACACAGACAGCGATTCAATATCTGGGAAAGAGATTCAGGGGCTGGATAGCCGAATGTGCCAAACATCTTCCATGGTACTCTCCAGCCAGCACAGAAGGGAGCTGAGGCTGCTTGTATGGCCTCGCTATGCAGCATCTGACAGCTTTGCAGACTTTGATGAACCCTGCCTGTTCTCAGCCCTTGGGAGTCACACAGCTAGGGCTAGACCTGCTTTTATGTGGCTAAGAAAGACTCCCTAGGCAAACTGAAAGTCTCAATATGTCAATCAACTTTTAAAAAAATAAAAAAAAATGAGCCCTCCAACATTAAAAGAAAAGGAAAAGACAATAGCAGGATACATTGTGTACCAAGGTGCTCTTTGAGTACTAATCTGAGCCTCTGCTGTCTTCCCTCCTTGCTGGCGCACTGTACTCCTGATTGCCACATAGCCTGCATCTGCCTTCATTCTGTTCTCTCTTTCCTACTTATCCCAAAGAGCAGCTTCCTTTATGCCATTCACAGTACGGTCACCAGCTCCATACTCTGTCTCTCTCACGTCTGTCTTCCTCTCTGACCTGTGAGTCCCATGGATGTAGGGTTTTGGGCTCACCCTTCTAGCCACAGATCCTAACACAACACAGCAGCCTGTAGTAAATATTTACGATAGGGAAGGATAAATCAAGGGTAAAGTAAAGAAAGGAAATGCCTTTGTTAGAATTTCTGTACTACGGACAGTGCCTGTATTTAGTTTCCCAGGGCTGCTGTAAACAAATGCTTCAAGCTAAGTAGGTTAAACATAGAAATTTATCACCTCACACTTCTGGGGCTTGGAAGGCTGAGGTCAAGGATTGGTTCCCTCCAAGAGCTACGAGGGCAAGTCTATTCCATGCTTGTCCCTGGCTTCTGATGGTTTGATGGCCATGTTTGGTATTCCTTGTCTTGTAGAAGCAATGCTCTGAGCTCCGCCTTCAGGTTGACCTAGCTTTATCCTTGTGTGCTCATCCTGTCTCCAATTGGGAATAAAGATTCAACTGTACGACCTCATTTTTCCTTATTAATTGCATCTACAATGCCCCTATTTCCAAATGAGTTCACATTCTGAGGTGTTAGGGTTTAGGGCTTCAACCTATGAATTTGGAGAGGGAACCCAACTTATAACAAAGCCTGATATGAATTTATTGTGGAATATTTCAGCTATTCTCCTATCATTAAGCAGTGTAGTGAGTTTAGCTACATTGTTCTGGATAGCCAGTGTGTACTAGTTTATCACACATCTTACAGTTCTCAGTAGTATGTGTGCATTGCTTTGCAAACTGTAAACCATTAGATGCTAACCTCAACATTGAGAATGTTGACAAATTATTGATGGTTTAGTAATAAAGAATTAGTACCATGGATTTGCTAGTCTTAAAATCCCCTAAAGCACATTTTCCTTTATAGCCCAGCTCTGTCTGCAGACCATTTAAAATATTACCTGGCTTTTCCCTGCAGGGGAGAAAACCACTCAGTCTGCTTGTCAGCCTTAATTATGGATAATGGGCTCATATTTTATTTACTTATTTGACAAACATGTACTATTCATTTATTATGTATTTTATGTGCCAAGTGCTTGACAAATATTAACTCACAGACAACCCCATGTGGACTATTATTGTTAATAATTAATATTTGCTAAATTTTAGGGTTAATGAAACTGAATCACAGAAAGGTTAAGGAACTTGCCCAAGGTGAGATAGCTGAGTGACAGAACAAGGTATGAAACTAGGTGAGCTACCTATTTTAGCTGTAGAAGCCTCTTTTTTTTTACAGAAGCCACAGCAAAACTTCGGAGTATGATAGGACAAAGCCGAGATGCTTTGGCTGAAGTGAAGGGGACAGAGCCCAGACTGTTCAGCACCTCCCGCCTTCCTGGGAGCCCTGTTTGAAATAACTCCTTTTGGCATGAAGCCATTTGTAAGCTGCCTTCAATCTATTCTAGCATAAAACAAATAAAGTCTTTCCTCACTTTAATTAACTGATTGTGTTTTATTTTGAAAATTTTATCTGCCTAATCTACTTCTGGCTGAAATAAAATGCTAACATGGATTTTCCCCAGGATGGCAATGCCATATGGCAATTTGGACTTTGCTGGCTTATGTTCCCCTTGGGCTTCTTTGAACAAATCAAGGACTATGGGCACAAAAGTTTCTACCTCCTTCGTTACAGGTTGCTTTTCTTCTATGGTTATTGATAATATAAAACAAAAGTTGTGATAATATTGATATTTACTACCTAATGAGTGTCTTCTATAACTGGGCACTAAAAAGAACTAATTTTCATAACTGTAGGTGTTATCACTGATATTTTGCATACGTGTAACTTAAAGCTAAGATTTTATGCAACTTCTTTAATCAGTGAGCAGAAAGGGTAGGATTTTTGAGGAAAAAATATAAAGAATTCTTTCTGAGGGAATAGGAGCAGAATGTTTGAGATTAAGAATGAAAGGCATAGGGCTGGGGATTTAACTCAGCGGTTCGGTGACCTGCCTTGCAAGCGCAAGGACCCGAGTTCGATCCCTGGTACCCCCCCAAAAAAAAAGAATTAAAGGCACATAAGGATATATTTTAGGATATATAGCTTAAGGCCTGATATAACTGTCAAATTATGAAAGCCTGAGAATACAGTGTGATCCATTCTAACGCGTGATTCTGTGCTATGATAAAATGCCTGTTCTCATCTGTTAATGTACAAAATGCATAAAAAAGAAAAACGAGAGTACATCAGTCAAATGAGATTGTAGATCAAGGGGGAATGAACTGAAAGAAAATCCACCCCAGGCCAGATTGGTTGCTTCCCTTGCTTCTATTTTTTCACTGGTCTTCTGCTCCTACTCCCTGCCACTCCCCAGTCCAGGTGTCAGCAAACTCTTCCTGGGAAGGACCCAGCGGTAAATGTTTTAGGCCCTGCTCGCCGTGTGTGTTCTCTATTGCAGCGGCTCAGCTCTGCTTTTGTAGGGCCAAGGCAGCATGGACTACAGACGCACAAACGGCCACGGTTGTATTAAAGATTCATTTATGACATTAAATTTGAACTTTTTTGAATTTTTTGAACCATTCAAAAATGTAAGAACCACTCCTAGCTCAAAGGCTATACAAAGAGATGTGGTTTGCCAACCCCTTACTCTGGCCTGACCATCCTCCCTCTGGTTTCCCAGCATGTTGCTTGTCATCTCTCAGGTGTTTCTTCTGCTCTGAGCATTTAAATGTTTTGGACCAGGTTCTTAATCCCTCAAAGAGACTTCAGAGGAGGGGGTGAGAGAAGTCCTTGTGCTCACATTCTGCACAAGCCAACTTGCCAGATCAACTTCAGCAGAAATAAACAGAAGCCGTAGCGACTGTCTAAGAGGATTTATAATTAAATGGAAAATTCTTGGCGTGCTCTTTCAATTTCATTGAAGATTAAAGGATAAATGCAGGACTTTGTAGTATTTCCAAAGGCTATCTTATTTCAGAGTGCTGCGGGCTGACAGGAAAATTCTTTGTGTCTTTTAGCAACATAGGTCATCTTTAAGTTTTAAATATTTTGTTGTTTCTTTCTAGGATGGAAACACCCTAAACTTGAATGACCAAGTATACCTTGGTAGACCAAGGCTTGAGTTTTACCTCTATTTGTTCTACTGGGATCATAGGTAAGTTAACAACATTATGGAATTCTCGGTTTCCTTCTGAGTAAAATGGTTTAATAATTCTATTTCTCTGGGCTTTTTACTATATTTGAATTTTTAATTATTTATTATTTATTAATATTTTATACCAAACTGAAATATAAGGGTCTAATTAGTTCTATTTTTCTGCACCAAATTTTAATAATTTCCTATATTTTGCTAACTTTCTTTTATCTTTATCTAAACTCCATTTTCCTCCCTATTATTTTAAAATACCTCCAAATGTAAAATATCTCACCTGTAAATTTTTCAGTATGTATTACTAATGGATAAGGCCCTCTTAAAAATGTTGTAATTGCATTATCTCAGCTACCAAAATTACAGTGATTCTTTAGCATCAACTCTTCCAGTCTCAAAAAAATATCTATATATACTTAAAGCAGGATTCAAATAATAACCATATGTTGCAATGGTCATATGACTCTGAAGACTCTTAATTTATGATAATTTTTAATTATGCTAAGTTCGATTAATAAGGACTCTCAGGTTAATGTATTCCTCATTCAATTTTCACTTTTAGCTTTGGTTGATGACTTTTGTTTAGGTCCACCTTACTTATGAAATGTTGTAAACCATTGTTTTCTTCTGTTTTTCTTATTCTGCCAGTCCTTTTGAATTTATTAGCTGAAACACTATAGAAAACTTTCCTATATCAATTATTTGGTTACTATGAAATATAGTTCATTTATGGTTTCTCCATTGAGTTTTTGCCTTACCAACTTCCAGAGGTGGACAATGTGGGCCGTTGATGGTGGTTTGTTTTCACCACCAACATAAAATCAGAAATTTATTATTTTTGATATATTTTAGTCCATGACAGTCATCCCTCTTTGTTCAACATTTTCCCTTGCCGGTATGAGCAGTAGCTTAAAATTACTTAACATATTTTATGCCTTTGACCTAAATCAGTCAAGAAGCCCTAGTTTCTTTTTAGGAAAATATGACTTACAAAGATCACAACCTGGCCACCAGGAGTGCTAATTGCCACAGTTTTATATATATCTATTTATTATATATATATATATTTTTAAGGGAACTAAATTTTTTGTACTAATAATTCTAGGTCAGTTTGTAAGAATTTTACCTAACATTTTTTGCTTTGTATTTTATTATTTTTTCTGTTAAAAATCTTGATTCTTACTGATTTTTTGGTACCTTTTGAACTCAGGACCTTTCACTTGTGAGGCAGGTGGCAGAAACACTGAGCTAAATCCCCAGCCCTTTAATGATATTAACTCTACTTATCAGCTTTGTTCTACTGTGTGCACCTGAGCATATGAAACACACGATACACCAGTAATTTCAAATTAGCAATATCAGTGTTTCCACTAATAGTATTATTGGCAATATAGTTTGAAATTGTTTTGCTATTCTTCTTGTTTAGAATAATCTGTACACAATAGATAGTTACTGGCTTTTGTGCTTTTAAACCACTTGAACTAATTCATATATTACACCACAAAATTGATATACACATTTTTTGGTTTCACTTTGGTTTATTTTGCTATACTGCTTTTCAAAAGTTTTGTTTTAGAGAGCTGGGGATTTAACTCAGTGGTTCCACTGCCTGCCACACAAGCACAAGGTCCTGAGTTTGATCCCCAGTACCAAAAAAAAAATTGCTTTACAGTTGTTTAAAATATGTATATGGTTCTGTATCAAACTGTAAGACATAGATTTTCCTCTTCTACTCATAGAAATGATATCATATATTTTTTCTGCACTATATTTTTTAATCAAATAATGCATCCTAGAGAAGACTTCATAACAGTAGTTTATTCAACCAGTCCTGATTTTGTGTGCATTTTATTGCAAATGATTCCATAGTATATAGTCTTTGCAAATAATTCCTTGATATGTAGCCTTTATAGACTATGAATAAAGATATATACACAAACAGCGCAGTATTTTTTAAATCTGAGAATTGAACTCAGGGCCTTGTACAAGTGAGGCAAGCATTCTACCACTATGCTGTATTCCCAGTCCACAACAAAGTTTTGTTATAATTATGTTGTTAGCTCCACAGACATTTTCAAAGTGTGGACAATATAGAAGAATATAAAGATGAGTAAGACATGGCCAGCACCCTTTAATTTTTATAATATAAGATGATGCTGAATAAAAAAGAAAAAAGTTGTGGCTTTTCTCCCTTGGATTATTTAATTTTCAGTCTTTTAATCATGATTGTTTCAATGATGTTATTTCATATAAAACTGATTCCTGGATATATGAATACATACAGATACCAATGATAATTCTCATTACACTGCTAACACTTTGTGAACCATGTAATTATATAATCAAAAATGTCTGTTTTGCTTAGCTGATTTTTTTTTTTAAGTCAGAATTCACAATGACAACAGTAACAGTGACGGCAGAATTTCCACCAGGGGTTAACAGAGAAGATAATTCTGCCTTGCGTGAGACTACATCGGCCCACATTATTGAAGAAACTGAATACGTGAGGAAGGTATGTGGGTGCCAGAAATCATTTGCATAATATGTATTTTTAAGATAAATTCTAATGTGGGTTGGTGGGCTTTGTTTTTCTTTTGTTTTCATATGGAACTTATGAAAAGTAACAAATCTGGTTTGGCAGAAGACAGTCACAATAGCTGACATTTGAACATATAGTAATTTCTCTTGAGGATGTGAACCTGATCCCACACTTAGAGTAAAATGATTTTCTTCACTCAGTAAAATTGAATAATGGGCCAGAAGGGTTCAGAACACCTATCAGCACTTAATTTGCCCCACACTATTCACTGCTGGATTTCCTACTGTTTTATAGCCTTTCACAGTGGTTTCATGAGTGCTGAGCTGAGTTCCCAAGTAGATGTTTATGTTTCCTACTGAGTTTCTCCCTCCTTACCTTGTTACCCTTCACAGTTCAGGGAAACTACTGCCAATGTCTATGTGTTGGCATGCTACTTCATTAAAAAGTGAAGTATTATGAGAATCCAAGATGATGAAGGCTAAGAAAAGGAGATAACCATGTTAACTATTTCGTAGAACAGGTGAATAAATTCTGACGCAGTTCATGACTTGTTCAGATCAACCAAATATAGTACGACTAATGTTTCGCAGTTCCATAGGTCGTTAAGACATAGGGCTTATATTTAATACAGAAATCTGCATGATCGCCTCTCGGTGATTATTCTGCCGTAATTACTTAATAGCAATTATTTTGTAGTAATTATTAGAGATTATTTTGTAGTAATTACTAGATAGTAATTTTGTAGTGATTACTATGCAGTAATTGTTTTATAGTAATTGCCAAACAGTAAATTAGTACTGAATTACTATGTACACAAAACAGAACTACATACCTAGTATTAAGTACAAATTTCTGTATAATTATTATTTTGTAGTATAATATGCATTTATCATATTTTAGGTTTTTCTAAGAAAGAAATATAAAGATCAACATTTTTTCAACAATCTAAATAGTATCAACCTAAGTGCTATTTGGATTGATGGCAGTTTTTAAACTCTGAGGCCAGTATATATATGCATCACTTTCTAGATAAATCAGATATACATCCTGGTGCAGAGGAAAAAAGGACATGGCATTCAATTCCTCTTTAAAAAAATACATTTTTTTCTCCCTCTAGATTCGAACTACTCTGGAAAAGATCAGAAATCAAATGTTTAAAGATGAAGCAGGACAGACCAGTACAAATTGTAAACTAGATACAAAGGTAATTAATTTATCAAAAATTTCTGCTTGTGTTCTTTCAGAAAATTAGCATAAAGCCATATGGACCTTATTTAGCTGACTTTTCTGCTAATTATTATTATTTGAACAATGAGTGATAAAATATTTTTTGCATCTCTAAAAATGTTAATGGCCATATGTATGGAATGTTTAACCACAGATGTCAAATAATTAGGATCCGATTGGAGTGACTGGACTTTGCTCAAATATTTTAAAGAGTCTTACTAACCTATAGTATATGGGAGTTGGCTCACCAAGATGCATGGCAACAATGTTTCCCAATGATGGACAGAGGTATAAGCTTGGGGGCTTACCGGGGCCACACTGGAGCCATGGTTGAGGCTCTTAGCCCTGTACTGAGTGAGGACTTAATCAGTACACTTCATTATAATCCCCCACCTCAACAGAAGACCACCTTATCTACCTAAGTCTGAGCAATCTGCATGACCCTAGCCCACACCTTATCTGGACTGTGCCATGCTATGCCCCATCTGAATCAAGTATGTCTCCTCAGTGTAACCTCTGTGTGGTGTCATTACCGAGCACACCGAAACATAGGCTACGATGCAGAAACATAATCCTTTTGTTGTCTTGGTCTTCTAAAGTGACACATCTGGTCTCAAGTATTTTCTTAAAGCAAGTGTTCTGAAACTGAGAGGTGGGAAATTATGTTTGGGAATGATGGGAAAGATCAAATTGTAAGTTTTGGACACCCCAAGTTGTACGTTAGCCCTCCAAGGAATAGGCTGCTGCACTAATGATCCGGAAATGAGATTAGCAGTCTGGACTAAAAGGTCCAGGCTTCGTGGTAGAGATTTAGGGCACTGTGGTTGGTATTTAGTTTTGAAACTAGAGAAGATTCCCAAGCAGGTGTAGCTAGATGAGTGATAATCTGAGTCTTGAGCTTCTAAGTGTTCAGATCTTGGGAAGAAGATCACAGGAGGCCAAGGAGAGAAGCTAGTGAGTTAGGTGGGAAAGCAGGAGAAAATGAGTCACTGAGGGCAAGTGAGGAAAGTTCTTCACAATGGGAGAGGAGTCACAGTATCGAATGTTGTCTATGCATTGGATAAATAGAAGACTGACCACTGACCATCGAAAATATTAAAGTGGAGTTGTTGGTGGCCTTGGTAGGAGTAGTTTATTAGAAATGAAGATGACACGGTACTGTCATATCAAATGCAGAAGATCATCAAACCAAACAAGCACCAAAATAGCCTAACCTAACCTTGTAGAAATTTTACTGTAATGGTCCAAGGCCCTGCTACCCTCAGAATGTGGGCCACTGTCACAGCAACAGCAGGAGCTTGTTAGATATGAGACCTCCTCATTCTGAATCTGCATCTTTAACCAGAGCCATCCCCAATGATGCTTATTCACATTCAAGTTTGAGAAGCACTGATCTATATATTTTGTGGCTCTCTCCCTATGCCAATAATCTAATGTTGACAAAATTCTTTCTGTCAAATATTCTTTTCAAACAAAATGAAACAAAACAAAACAGCAATTCCTACTCTTTATGTGGAAGACACACTAGGCTCAGGACCATAAATCCAAAATGGAGACAGAATAGTGGTAAAGGGGAGTATTATCTGTCTGCACTATATTCTTTTTGTAATTATATTGTGAAAAGAACAAAGGCTTGCTTTTAAACAAACTTTTATTTTGTTTCAAGTTATTTTAGTCAGAACCTTGGGCTCATTAAATTCTCTCCTTAGATTTCCTACATCTCTATAAAGGGCAGAGTATCTATTAGTATTTTTAGTGTTCAGACAAAGGAGTGTATGCAAAACATTGAAACCATGACCTGGCAAATAAGAGGTACTTAACATGTTGAAGTTGTTATCATAATTGTGGGACATATGTAATTGTATCATAATTTTTCCATCTGCCTTGAAATAAGTTGAAAGAACAGAAAAGACAAAGGCTGTGTCTTTACTTGCTACACAAACTCAGGTTCTGGTTGGTTTTTACATCTGTAAAGTTGATGCGATAACTTATATATTTTCTAATTTCCTTCCTAACTCCATATGTCCATGATTCCAGATTAGATTTTTGGTCCAAGTGGATTTTCAGTGAGCCAGAGTTTATGTAGAATTATAATGGCAATAACACTCCATCCTGATATCTCTGTTTGGAAATGTAATAGGAAGTGATTGCAATAAAGCATCACTGAACATCAAATATTATGTATTACAGCTATTAGGGATGATTTCATTAGTTTTTAATGCAATGTAACCAAAATGTACTTATGTCTATGATGTAGGTAAGAAATCTGGTCTCATGAATATGATTTATCTCTTAACAGTACATTTGAAACTCTAGGGAATATAAAAAGCATAAAATACAAGGTTCTACCTCTTTTGATTTATGAATCTATTCATATTTAAACAAACATTGAGGCCAGATGCCTCATGCAGAATTCCCCATTGATATCTGAGATTCAAAAGATGACTTTATTTGTGCTGGCCTGAATCTCCTTTGATAGATACAATACTAAACGATAATTATTGTCAAAATTTGTGAAGGAGAAGAATATTCAGCTCTGTGCTTTTCCTGTTGGTCCATTTCAGCATTGTGGAAGTGTTCAGAATGGCTCTGATTCTGAAATGGACCCTTCTTGCTGCAATTTGGACTTGCTCAAGGAAAAAATGAGAGCCAAAGACCTACAGCTCTTAGAAATGAACAGAGAGAATGAAATATTGAAAATCAAGGTATGACTATTAGGAGAAGGTTCACATTTCATATTTTCAGTGTGTGAGCTAACGGGTAAGTTGTTAGCATTCATGGATCTATGCTTGGTGCAAGATAGCCACACACATCCATAAACCCACACATGGGCTCACATGCCTTGTATTCGCAAGTTAAGTCTCAGTGTTTGACCTTGGAGAGTACTTTTATTATTAAAGAAATCTTACAAAAGTTCAATGGGTGTAAAGTTTCAGTTATACAAGATGAGCAAATCCTGGAGGTCTGCTGTATGACGTTGTGTCTATACTTAACAGTGCTGTACTATAGACTTACAAATTTCTTAACAGGGAAGATCTTATGCTAACTGTTCTGTACCACAATACTTTTTTAAATATGTTTCCATATAGAATATATATTAAACATGGCCTTCATAGTAAAATGTTTCATTATTTATTTAATTAATCCAATGTTGAATGCTTTATATTTTCCTTTCGGGGCTTATTTTATATGCGACAACAACTATCTTGATAGGTAAATCTTCTGGCTATCCTGGATAGTGTCCTCAGGTTAACTTTTTGGAAGCTTCATGACACTTGAATTTTTTTGCCCTTACTGTTCTAAACTTGTTCTGCTTCTGTTTTTGGGAAACACTCCTGTTAGTACTATTATGGACCTGTGATCAAAGGCTTGGCATTAAGTATATGAGCCAAGGGGGCACTGTACAGCTCCCCAAGGGTGAGGTCTATCCATGCAGGGCATCTAACCGCATAGAGCTCTGGTTTGGTGAAGCTAATCTGCTGATTCTTATTCTACGTTTTCCTTATATCACATAGCAGTGTCTTTTCAGCCATCCACTGTCTGTGAGGGTGCACATGGTACTGTTATAGACTCTGTTTTTAATTCCCCATCACATTGTTTTGCCTGTAGCCATTTTTATTGAAAATATCAAAACATGCAAAGTGATTTTTTTTCCTAGCTGGCAGCCTCCAGAGAAGCAGGAGCAGCAGCTCTGCGAAACGTGGCCCAGAGATTATTTGAAAACTACCAAACACAATCCGAAGACCTGAGGAGAAAGCAGGAGGACAGCACATACTTGCTCCAGGTAGCAACAGGCCAGTCCTTTTGAGAGAATGTAGATGTGAAACAAGCCATGGCCGAGTGATTTGGCAGGGAAGTAAGCCATGAAGCGAGCGGGGATAATTAGTCTGCTTTTATATCACTTTCTGATTAAAAATGAAGCAATTTTAAACAAAATATGTAGGATTTAATTTTTTGTTACAGATAATTTTTGTTGAGCAAAGGTAGAATATTTTACTTCTCTTAAATTAGTATCTGCCTTTTTCATACCATTTTGGGAATATACTTTATTGAATATAAATATTTCAGGAATGATATTTATGTGTTATCTCCTACTATAACTCACCAGGTTCAGTTTAAAATCAACAGTGAAATCAAGAGTATTCTAAACAAGTCTGAATTATTCTTTTCTTTGGTGGTGGTGGGTTAGAAAATTCTAATACAGGGGGAGAGAACATTTATTTTGTTTAATGAAAGTAGAAGTCTAGCAATTTTTTTTTCTGACCTAAGGTTAATAAGCTTGAAAAAGAACAGAAATTGAAACAACATGTTGAAACTATGAACCACGTCGCTGAAAAACTTGAAGAAAAACACAATCAAATCACGGAGTTGGAGAATCTTGTACAGAGAATGGAAAAGGTATGCACCTAGTGAATTAAAGGGATTTCTTATTAACAGGATTAGATAAAAAGTGTGAGAAATGAGCCAGGGATTTAGCTCAGTGGCACCGCATCTGCCTCACAAGCACAAGGTCCTGAGTTTGATCCCCTGTACAAAAAAAGAAAAAGCAAAAAAAAAAAACAAAACAAAACGAAAAAAACTCTGAAGTAAGTGAGACATTAAATTAAATAAGATCAAATGACGTGACACTATTCCTTGTGATTCTTGGTCTTTGGAAGTGCCCGATAATGTCAGTTTTTCCCCTTAAGCATTTAATGTGATCTGTACTCTAGTGACTGATTTATTACTTCAAATGCTTTAGTCACATTAAAGTCTGTTGCTTTCTAATGCATTGTATCTTAGAAAAGGGAGTCAGGTTAGTATGTGGATGGAAATAACGGAAAAGATGACAGAGTCTGCTGGTTAGGAGTTAGCACTAAAGTAGATCCCTATAATCATATTTTTATGCATTATAATCAGTGCAGTGTCCATTTTTGTCTACCCAATAATATCATGTTGGATTTCAAAGAAGAGGAAAGAGACAGTTCGCATTAAGAACCACCCTTCTAACTGGAGGTGATAGTACGAACTGATTATTCCAAGCGCACTGGGAAGTTGAAGCAGGATGATCCCAAGTGTAAACAGCTTGAGGAACTGAGGGACTTCATGAAACACTGTTTCAAAATAAAACAACTCAGGGCAAAGGCCCTGGGTCCAATCTCCAGTACCAAAACAAACAAAAAACACAATAAATAGCCATTCATAGATATTGAAACTTTGAAAAGATATAATTATGGGAAAATAATAATAGACAAAAAGCTATAATAGATTTTATGGGGCATTCCTTTAAGGTCCTGGCCCTCCAAGTATGTACAAAAGGTAAACACATTTTAGTTATGCATGCTTTAGAATTTAGAATTCAGACAAATCCAGGAATATTACCTTTCAAGGCAGGCAGCAGAACCACTGAGCTAAAACCCCAGTCCTGGAATCTTATCTTTCAATAGCAAATAAATAGGAAAATGACATCTCTGGAAGTAGATCAGTAGATTTCTGGGTTCTAGAAATTTTTGGCTGATTCATTTCAGTAGTTATTTTTTTAATTCCTCAATTTGCCTCTGCTCTTTAAGCCTTAATTTGTTTTATGAGCATGGCTGGAGATGCCATTTTGGAAATATCACTTCAAAAGCATTGTAACTTCAAAAGTATTCAGGCTTTTTACCCCCCTACCCCCAAAAAGTTGAATACGTTTAAAAATATTTCCCAAGAATGAAAATTTTTATAACATTTTGAATTTAGTTGAATTTGTAATCTTACTGGTGAGGTTGTGTCAAAATCACAAAAATTTAAAAAGCTCAAGCTTAACAAGATCCAATGATAATGCCATACTGCAGATAAATAACATACAGCACTTTTTAGAAGGTGATAGGTCGCTGAGTGCTGTTATTTAGTAGATTCACTGGCCTACGGTGGCCTCAGTCAGTTGGCTTGCCCATGCATGCTAGCTAAAATTTATGCTGTTATTATGGACAAACCACAGTATTGCATTGATCGTTTGGTAATGTTAGAATACTTTACCTTGTAATAAATAGTATAATAAACTAAGATGGCAAAAAGAATGTTTGGATTTAAGAGAGGACGACAGTTCTGAAGAGTTGTTTAACCAATCACCTTGATTTCCCAGCTCAGCATTTAAACTTAAGCTTGCAGTCACCCTGCCTCAAATCCTGTAACACTGCGGTCACCTGTCAGTGCCGGGAAATTCACGAAAGGCCACTGGAAGATAACTTCTATTTCCTAGTGTCCCCAGGAATTCCTACTAGATATGAATTCATCTCAGATTTCTGGGGTATATTTATTTGACTGTTTATTTGTTATATTTAAGTTCCTGCCATTTGCTGCACGGAGTAGAGCCTGGATATTTATTTGTGAATGACCTATACACAGTCACTGTTTGTAGAAATTATGTGTACAACTGGATTGCATGGAGATCTAGGAATTTCCTGGATCTCCTGTTTTAAACTCTCCTACGGGTTTTTTGGAAACACTCTCAGAATAGAACCCAGTGGCTCAAATACTAGCAGTCTCTTTCTTTCCTCTCTCTCCCTCCCTCTCTTCTGTCCCCCTTTCTCCCTCCTCTTTACCTTCCTCCCTTCCTTC